GTCTCCAAAATTTCAGTCCCCCAACGTTCGTGCTTGCTGAGTTGAAAGTAGGTGACAAAGTTCACTTGCTTCCGAACCCACACGGACGAACAATCTCTTGACAGTGTGTGTTTTTGCTCGCTGTAGCAGCGCTATAACACTGCACATCAAAAATGCGTAAGTAAATGAAGTTTATATCGTATTGCTATAGTGCTTCATCTGTCCTAGTCAATTCACGTGATTCAAATTCGCCATCGATCTATTTCAGTGCCGACGTTTGTGTTGCTCTGACCAGCAATGTGCTATTGCCGATGTGCTTCAGAATCAGTGATTTGGTTGCTCCCGTTGTCAATAGTATGTCCCCGGAAGGTTACGCTCCCGAAGACTATGTGAATACAATTGGTGAGCTCTCTTTTGTTTTTAATTTGACAGATTATGCAAGCAAGTTCGTTCGGAGTCATTTTTTCTTGCATACCTCAATTTTTTGATTCGGTGCCAGCAGTTCTGTATAAAACGATTGAAAATTTAGGCATTCCATCACTTCTTAAAAAAATTCTTTCGGTTTTCACAAATATGTTAGAAACGTGGTTTTTAGAAACGTGGTTTTTTTTTCAGCGGATGTTAAGAATTTTGAGACTCTAAAATCGCGCTTGGACGTTTGTCAGATGTTACTTACAAGTTGTTGGCGTTCACATAAATACGTTTCTGCAATATTTCATACTGTGGTCACAAAGGTATGTAATACCAGTGGGTATTCTTGGCTGTTATTTTGTCTGTCCGCTTTTCCTTGCCACTTTTGACGCTTTTCATACTGTTAAGTATGCTGTGTTTACATTATATAATACTTTTCTTTCTTTTTCCCCTTTTGCCCTGTGACTCAGAATGCAATTTGCTTTCCAGCATGTTTACAGTTTTCTGCATTTTCGTCTTTCCTTTTTTTAGACTCGTAAAAACCTAATTATACATTCGTCCCCTTTATCCCATTTTGCTCCTATTTTGGAATGCGCTTGCATTCCCAGCCGTTTTACTTTCTTATTTTTCCTTTCATTCCCTTTTTTTAAACCCCCTCAAAAACCCTTATTTCCATTTTCCCTTTTCACATTTCGCTTCACCTTAATTATCGTTTTTACATTTTCAGCCCCTCCAAAAAATTATTGCATCCTCTTTTGGGGCGGTTCCTACACCCTTTATAAACCTCCCATCCATTCTTGTTGGTCTTTCAGTTTTCCCCTTCTCCGGGACGACGGCTCTCTGGGCTGTTCAAGGACTCGACCTCGTCTGATATGCTCCTGGCCCTCATCAGCCATGCTCTGTTATAACGACTCGTGCTCGGCAAGCTCACAGACTCGGTAGATCATAAGCGCCACACCTCGTGCTGTTTATTTGCTGTTTGCACGATTTATTATCAATAAGTCATAAACTTGATTTTGCTTCTCTACAGTGCGCGTACGCTCAGAGCACCACGCCACACAGCGATCCACACGCGTAAACACTTATCGCATAAAAATTTTTACTATACTTTTAGGTTCTGAGTTCACCACATAGCCGCTGAGGTGAAATTCTTCTGTTAGACCAGCAGCTTTCATGCTATTCGTTTAGCATCTGCGGGTATCACTCGGCTATCCGCTCTGATCATCTGTTGTCCATCATTCTTGTTATACAACCATTCACTGCTGAAATATTTTGCAATCACATTTTGTTTTTTAGTTTCTAGGAAAATATGTGATACCGTTGGAAAGCATTAACCGCATCAGCAGCTTTTACTGGCGTCAGCTGACGGAATGCAAGCACTGTGGTGCCATTGAAACAGCAATTGAAGGATTTGAGGCATTGTGCGAAAAGCTTTGGTCGCTTGCTGTAGTTGGAGATGCAGATTTCAGGGAATATCCCAAACCAAGCATTTGGATAGAGCAGATTATCAGTTTATTGGATGGCGAAACCAGTTAGTTGCTTCTTTTAAATCACTAGCGTTGT